AAAGCATTTGAAAATAAATTCAACTTCACAAATAATCAATGAAATATAAATAAAATTATTAGTCCAAATGACTAATGGACCATGAGAACCTCCACTTATATGACCCAGAGACCAGAAGAACTAGATGGTACCTGGCTACCACTGCTAGTCACTCAGGAAGGGATCACACCTGGAGATCCTGAATAGAGTGGGAGAAAAATGTGGAACCAAATTTCAAAAACATAAAAAGACCAGCATACAGACTGCTGAAACCCTTGACACTATGGCCTCTAGGTCACCCTTTGGGACCGAAATGAATTAAGCTCACTCCCATGGCTCAACTCACAGCTAAACAATACACAGACCTAAAAGCTGAACAGCTACACCAGAGAGATGCACTCCTTGAACAATCAACCATGAGAAATCAAAAGGCTAGCATTTGTAGTAGGAGAAAAGTGAGGAGGTTGGAATGCATAGGCAAGAAGGACACAGGGAAAGGGTAACCACAGGGAGGCAGTGTAAAGACAGCTGCTATATTGTGGGGATTGTAATGAGTGTCACGAAACAAAATGTGTATGAATATAAAAAGAATCTGCTTTGTAAAATTCCACCCAAATCACAATTAAAAGTTAAAAAAGAAACCCTATGGAGCAGTTCTACTCTGTCCTTTTGGGTCACTGTGAGTCAGAATTTAAAACAAAGAAAAATGGATCAATATAATGAAAAAGGCAATTTACAAAAGTAAAACTGGCTACTAAGCGTTTGGAAATAAATTCAATTTCACAAATAACTAATGAAATATTATATGAAACAATAAAGATAAAGCATTTTTGTATAAGAAATTAACAAAGATTTTGGAGGAAAGTCCTTCTTAGTATAAGGAGATGCAGCACAACAGACATTCTGATACACTGCTGATCAATATGTAAATTAGGTCAAACATTTTGGATGCTAATTTGGCAATACGTACCAAAATCCTTAAGAAGGTTAATACTAATAACCTAAATGCCCATTAGTGATAGACTGGTGGGCTAAATAATGGAATATTCATATGTGGCAAATCGTACCAATGAGCATGAGTGTTCATTCATGCCTCCCTGAGTCCATGTCCTTTGCAATGCGACTTTGCATGAAGGAGTGGAGTCTATGCATCTCTCCCCCTTGAATTTGTACTGACTTTATAACTTGATTTGTCCAATAAAACGTGGCAGAAGTGACAGTGTGCAAGTTCTGAGCTTAGGCCATAAGGGACATTGCACACTTCCACCCGATCTCTTGACACCTTAGCCTTTACTGTGCAAGCAAGCTAGGCTAACCTTCTGGAGGATGAGAGATCACGTGGACCAGAACTAAGTCAGCCCAGGTGTCCCAGCCAATGCCTGGATCCATGTGAGAGCACAGTCAAGACGAGCACAGCTGCCCTAGCTAATCCACAATTGGCCTCTGATGCATGAGGAAGTCTAACCAAGACTAGAAGAAACACTCTGGGGAGCCCATCCTAAATTGCTGATCCACAGCCACTAAGTTTGGGGAGTGATTCATTACCCAGCAATAGCAAATAATTTACAATATCATGATGATTATGCAGCCACTAGGAAGATATATTACATCTGTGTGCATTGGCCTGAAAAGATGTTTATGATACACTGGAGAAAGGAAGTTGAAAAAGACTGCTTACAGTAAGATTCAATTTCCCACAAGAAAAACACAAAATAAAATCTAAACGTACATGAGCCTACAGTAAGGTGTGTGTGTGGATATGCACCACTGGTTAGTTACCTCGGGAGGGTAAGATTGGCAGGAGAGGGAGGAGGGTATGGGAACGGAGGAGATTACTGACTTTTCCTTTACCCATCTCTGTGTAATATGTTGGTAACAATGAGCATGAATCACTGTTGTAAATTAGAGATACTGTTTTTTAAAAAAGTTATAATGGTCATTGCCTAAGTAAAGAGATAAGGAGTGCTTTGGAACACCTGCAGGCTTCTGAGCAAAGATGCAAAGAGAAAAAAAAAAAAAAATGCAACCATTGCCGTGGAGTCGGACCTGACCCATAGCGACCCCTCCTTGGGTTTCCGAAGCAGTATCACTACGGAAGTAGATTGCCCAACCTTCCTTCCGGGGAGTGGCTGGTGGATTTGAACCGCCAGCCTTCTGGTTAGCAGTCAAGCATGCAAAGAGCATGTAGGTTGAATTCAAGCCATTTGGATTTCAATCTGAATTTTGTTACCAGTGAAAAGGAGATAGACAGAGAAGGAGAGAAAGTTTATGAACTTGTCCCATTAATTCTATTCCTATGGTTGTAATTCATAGGAAATAATCAGAAATTTATGTAAATAATTTTATAGAAGTATGTCATTGTATGAAGGAATCCTCGTGGCTTAACGGTTAAGTGCTTGGCAACTAACTGAAAGGTCAGTGGCTCCAACCCACTAGCTGCTCCACCAGGTGATCTGCTCCCAGAAAAAATTAACCCATTGCTGTCAAGTAAATTCTGACTCATAGTGACCCTTTATGACAGAGTAGAACTTCCCAATAGGATTTCCAAGGCTGTAAATCTTTACAGAAGCAGATTGCCACATCTTTCTCCAGTGGAGCAACTTGTGGGTTCAAACTACTAAACTTTTGGTTAGCGGTCAAGTACTTTAATCACTTGACACCAAGGCTCCTTTCATGAAGATTACAGCCTAGGAAAACCCATGAGGCAGTTCTTCTCTGTCCTGTAGGATCACTATGAGCTGGAATCAACTCAAGGTTACACAAGAACAATAAATTTCATTGTATAGAGAGTCTCTGGGTAGTCAAACAGTTAATTCACTTGGTTACTCACCTAAACACAGGCAATTTGAGTACACTGTGAGGCACATGGTAGGAAAGGCCTAGCAGTCTAGTTCTGAATATCAACCTTTAAAAATTCTATGGAGCACAGTTCTACTGTGACACACATGAGGTTGCTACATGTCAGAATCAACTTGACAGCAAATGATTCGATTTTTCAGTTATTTCATTATATGGTTTTTGTTTTATATTTAAAAATAAGAAAAACCTAAATGTCTAATAATAGAAGGTTAAATACAGTCAATTAAAATCGTACTTAATGATCTGGAAATACTTTGGTTGTTAAGGGAAGAAAAATAATAAATAAAACTGTATATACTGTTGTTAGGTACCGTCAAGTCCTCTCCAACTCATATTGTTATTGTTGTTATGTGCCATCGAGTCGGCCCCGACTCATAGCGACCCCTCCTTGGGTTTCTGAGGCAGTATCACTACGGAAGTAGGATTGCCCAACCTTCCTTCCGAGGAGTGGCTGGTGGGTTTGAACCACCAGCCATCTGGTTAGCAGGCAAGTGTCTTAGCCACTATGCTACCAGAGCTCCCAACTCATAGTGACCCCATATACAGCAGAGTGAAACTCTGCCCAGTCCTGAGCCAGCCCCACGATTCTTGCTATACCAGAGCCCATCATTGCAGCCACTGTGTCAATCCGTATCCTTGAGGCCCTTCCCCTTTTTCATTGACCCTCCACTTTACCAAGCATGATAGCCTTCTCCAGGGAATGGTCCCTTCTGACAACATGACCAAAGCAGGTGAGATGAAGTCTGCCCATCCTTGCTTCCAAGGAGCATTCTGGCTGCACTTCGTCCAGGACAGATTTGTTAGTTCTTTTGGTAGACCATAGTACTTTCAGCATTCTTCGCTAACACCGCAACTCAACAGCATTGGCTCTTCTTCGGTCTTCCTTATTCATTGTCCAGCTCTCACATGCACATGAGGCAGTTGAAAATGCCATGGTTTGTGTTAGGTGTGCTTTAATCTTCAAGGAGATATCTTTGCTCTTCAGCACTTGGAAGAGGTCTTCTGCAGCAGATTTGCCCAATGCTATACTCTGTCTGATATCTTGACTGCTGCTTCCATTGATGTTGATTGTAGAACTAAATAATATGAAGTCTTTGACAACATCAATCTTTTCTCCATTCATCATGATGCTGCTTGTTGGTCTAGTTTTGAGGATTTTTGTTTTCTTTATATTGAGGTGTAATCCATATTGCAGACTGCAGTCTTCAATCTTCATTAGTAAGTGTTTCAAGTCATCTTCACTTTCAGCAAGCAAAGTTGTGTCATCTACATATCAGTTTATTAATGAGTCTTCCTCCAATCCTGATGTCACGTTCTTCTTCATATAGTCCACCTTCTCAGATTATTTGCTCAGCATACAGATTGAATAAAACAACCGCTCTGTTGAATGGACTAAACCGTATCTCCTTTCAGCACTCCCTTCCTGATTTTAAACCATGCGGTGTCCCCTTGTTCTGTTGGAACGACAGCCTCCTGGTCTATGGACAGGTTCCTCATGAGCACAATTAAATGTTCTGGAATTCCCATTCTTCTCAGTGTTATCATAATTTGTTATGATCCACACAATTGAATGCTTTTACATAGTCAATAAAACACAAGTAGACATCCTTCTGTAAACAACTTTGTGTATTAGCTTTATATATGTACATTTACAAAAGTTATAACAATGTAGTATATACACCTTTCTTTCTACCAGAAAGATGTATATGCTGCATTGTTAAAAATTTTTGTAAACATACATATATAAAGCTAATGCACAAAGTTGATAAAGCTTTTTTCTATACGCTTCATTTAAAAGGTGATTTTTAGTTTCTTCTTCATATTCTTTTTTTCCCATTATGTATTATATCTTTCTTTGAAATTAGAATTTTGAAAAATGCTATAAATACTTTTAAAGAATCCTGGAATAGGGAGGAGAAGGACAGAGCTGAGAAAAAGTGAGCAATACAAGAAAGCTTATTCAATGTGCCTGGCCTTCTAAGAACCCACATTTTCTTATCTCCCCAATGACACTCAATGTAGACCTGTTAAACAAGAGACATCTCACCAAGGAAAGGAGATGTCATAGATGATAGGATGTTGTTGTTGTTGCTATTGGGTGCCATCAAATTGATTTCCAGTTTTTAGTGACACTATATGACAGACTGGAGCTTTCCTTAAGGATTTTCTATGCTTTAATGTTTACAGAAGTGGATCATCAGGTCTTTCTCCCATTGCTGGTTTTGAACCATCAACATTTCAGTTAATAGCCAAGTGCTTAACCATTGTGCTATCGGAATGACCAGCAGAGAGATGGAAATTAATCACATAGAAGTAAGAACCTAATTTTATAAAGTCCTGGAGCTGAAAGGTGATACGGTTCAGTACATACAATAAAGGGGTTATTTTTCACTTAAGCAGGAACGAGTCACCCATTGGGCTCACACCAGTATGCCATAAGCTCAAAGTCAAAAGTCTCTCCATCTACATGAGGTTCAGGTTTGGATGTGGGTCCGTGGTAGAACCCATTAAGTATAGCTCTTGAGACACAATTCCTCCCCATCTGTTGGCATGTGAAACTACAGAGACAAGCTATCTGCCCCCATTACATCCAATATACAATGGCGAAACAAGCATTTTTTTTTTTTTCTCTTGTTCCTTTCAGTCCAAACTGGAAGTGTTTCTGCTGAAATAATTTTCTCAAGAATTTTATGGGTCACCTGTGCTATTGACTAATATTTGAATGCTATAAACAGCTGCCCAGTGGGAGAAGATTTATCTTATTCATCTGTGTAATTAAAATGATTATTCAACCAAGATGCTATTCAGTGAACTTCCATGAAGATGCCTAATTTATCAACCTCACTGACTCACAATTACAGCTGAGGGGCTATATTCCTGTGCTCTCACAGAATATAGAGAGTAAAGAGATGGCAAAAGAACAACAGAAAAACCATGAGCCAGCAAAACACCCTTCAAGCTGCAGGAGCCTGTTTAGATCTGCAAACACACTCAGGGAGAGAGTGAGAACTAGGAATTGTGAGTGGTCCTTTGGGATTTGGAGAGAAAGCTACTGATTATTTTGCAGCTGGGCTCAGAGAAGAAAGACAATAATGGCATCCAGGCCTCATTCTCAGAAACATTCTTCTCCCTGAGAAGAATTACCTGAGGTAACTGGGCAGCAGATAAATAGAGCATCATTTTAAAAATAGCCTCTGTCTGAGCTTTGTCTCCCTGTGGAACTCAGAAACCAAGCCAACTCCTCCAGCTGTTCACACTGGATACACAATTCAGATAGAACACTGCTGACTTCATTCCCTTCCTCCTCCCACCTCACTCGGTAAGGAGAGTGGGCCAGGACAAGAATCCCTCGCTGGTTTTACTGGAATGCCCTCCACTATCCCAACCCCCTATACATGCACCTTTAGGCTCTGCCTTCCTACTCTAACACGTCCTGCCCAGGGCAAGCAGATCAGCCTTCCCCACTGTGTTTCTCCTCCTCAAAACCGTCCCAGGATTCCTCTTGAGACTATGCTTCCCTGACAAAACATAAGCCTTACACTTCCACAATCTTACACAGGACATTCCATTAGCCTTAAAGATTCTCTGCGCTCAATTTTTTAGTACTAGAATCCTACCCCTGTTTCATACCCTTGACAATTCTAAAAGTTTATAGCAATCATTTTGTTTTAGATTGCATTTATTTGTGGAAAGGTCACAAGCATAAGCATTATGTTAGATGACAAAGATAAAATACTAAGGGAAAAACAACACACACTTACCTCACAGTCTCCATGAGACAGAAGTTCAGGCACTGTTTAGCTGGGATGACTCAGGGTCTCACAAGGCTGAAAGGTACAAGAGAGAAACTCATGGGTCGCCTATGAATTTCAATGAAGGTTATTGC